TTTTTTTAGTCTCAGCCATTGCGTTTTACACAACATCTGACAAATATTCTTCGGCTGTGTTCCCTTTTGGGCAGTGTAACAACCTCAGCAAAGCTAAGGATTATGTGCAGGATAGAGAGAAGGATGTGCAGGATAGAGAGAAGGAAGAATATTTAATCATTAATTCATCACTGGGTATTATGAGTTGGACCTGAGAGCACTCTGCTTTGTTCACAGATTCAGAACTGATCGGTTACTTTCCTGTTGAAGAAGCTTGTCCTTCCAACCCAGGACTGGAAAGAAGAAGAAGAAGAGTTGGTTTTGATACCCGCTCGTCACTACCCAAAGGAGTTTCCGAGCAGCTTACAATCACCTTCCCTCTCCCCACGACAGATACCCTGTGAGGTAGGTGGGGCTGAGAGAGCTCTGAGAGCCAGCACAAACTATAGTTTGCCACTTTAAATGTAGCCACAGACTGAAACAGGAGGAAGCGTGCAAACAACAGGTCTCATTCGTGATTAGAAATGTTACGTGAAGCAACCCAAACACAGTTCTGCATTGTGGTTCACAAAATTGTCTTCCGAGAGACAGTACTGAAACTGAAATCTTTTACCTCCATGTAGTACCTTGTTATATTTTCACACTTTGGAACAGGAGGGAGAAAATGATTTCCCCAGAAATGTCTGTAGCACACAGAGATGATTAAGCTGTGCACTGCTGACCTCTGTCAGCCAGTTAAGTGCTCCGCAAGAAGTACATTTGCGGCAGGTCTGAGTGAACTTAACACAAGAATGCACAAACGGAATTTAGCAGTGGAATTCATCTGTATATACAAAGAACTGGTTAGTCTGCACAGGTAACGCGAGATAATTCAAAACCTAGGAAGAGGAAGCTTTTCAACACAAACAAGCTTAGGCCCACCTGTTCCACTGAGTACATAATAAATGTGCAGAAGATTGCACTTTCAAGGCCCGAGGCCAAGGCACCTAGAAAACTGCCCTCTTCCACAGGAGGCTGTCAGCTCCATCTACTCCCCTCCACTTCTAAAGTAAGGCAGGAGGCCACTCGAGACAGGGTCTTTTCCACTTCAACACCTTCAAGTGTGAAATTCCTTCCCCACAACTATTTATGCCTGCTGGCTATGCTTGTTCAGCTCTCCCAGGCACTATTTTTTTTTCTTCCTCTAACTGAACAGCCTCGCATTAGCCTCTGGCCATCAATTACTACTGCCATGGCCTCCGAACTACTTTTATGAGATGGGGGAATATTTTAAAGTGCTATTTCAAGTCGTTTTAATGATTGTTTTGTTTGAGGCTGACAGCACAGGATATAATCGCCATAAATAAATATTTGTGCCATTTCCATTTCAAAAAGCCATTTCAGCTGTGTTCTCACTCTCGCCATTCATAATCATTATTTCACCATGAAGGAGGGTATCTAAGTTGACAGGAATGTTTGTTTGATAACTTGTTCTGCCACATCGCTTTAAACCTGCCTGAAATTCTGCATCTTCTATTCACTGTACAACCTTTGAATCCAAAAGCTGAGAAAGACACTCTGACTGAATAAATATTGCTGAGAACAAAGGCAAAATATTACAGCAGATAAAACTGAATCGTTGCTTCTCTGGGGACTGGGCCAGACAGAATAAATGAAGCCTCACCCACAGAGATAAGAAACAGTTACCAGTATTTCTTTTTTACAAACAGAATGCTAAACCCGCAGGTGACCAGGCGGCAACACAATATACACCTACCAGGAAGGAAGGGTCACTGAAATCAGTGGTATTTCTTTCAGAGTAAGAACAAATGGGATGGGCTGTTAGCATATCAACAAAGGGTGGAAAATCTGGAGCCATGAACTAGAACTGCATACAACACTAAACAAAACAAAGGCCAGTGGCACCTTAAAGATCAACAACATTTACTCCTGCATGAGCTTTGGCGAGTCAGAGCAAACAGGCAACACTAGACTCAGACATCTTTGGATCATGTGAGGTAAAGGTAAAGGTTTCCCTTGCTCGAAAGCCAGTCAAATCCGACTCTAGGGTTGCAGTGCTCATCTCCGTTTCTGAGCCGAAGAGCCAGCTCTGTCCGAAGACATTTCTGTGGTCATGTGGCCGGCATGACTACACACCAAGGCGCACGGAACGCTGTTACCTTCCCACCAAAGAGGTACCTATTTATCTACTTGCAATTTCTTGCTTTCGAACTGATAGGTTGGCAGGAGCTGGGACCAGAGGCGGGGGCTCACTCCATCATGCAACACTTGGGTCTCAAACTGCTGAACTTCCAGTCTGCAGTTCAGCATCTTAACACTTGAGCCACCACAGCCACATGTGATCATGTGAAGACATCCCTAAATCCCACAGGACACAGCAAATATATAGCAGGTTAAGCCATACTGCACCTCTGTAGGAGGAAACAATCAAATTGTTCCATGGCTCAAGAGACTAAGGCAGTCAAATCCACAAAGCGTCACTTGATACTCTACTTCAACACTGCCTGCACTAGCATAGAGAACCACATACACAGAGGAACCTGATAGAACAAGCCAAATGTAATCTTCTGAGGAGGACTGGGCTTGGAACTGTTGATGCTGGACTATATGGAGTCCTCTGAACCAGCAGGGCTCTTCCTATATTCTTACACTGTGTTAGTACACAGTGCTTGGTGACAGAACAAACACTTTTGGAGGTGCATTTCAAGTGACAACACATTAAAAGTCCCATCCATTAAAGTCTCTCTCACCTATTTCCGGTATGTCCAACAGGTAGATCACGATCTACCAGTAGATCGTGGAGGGGGTCAAAGGTAGATTACCAGCCCCACTTGGTCTCCTGGTTTGCTGGACAGGTGTTTGGGTTTTTTTGATGATTGTTTGGTGGTAAAAAATGTCCGCAGTTCTTTCTGGATCTTTGTCTCTCTGTTTTGTTTTTGCTTATTTTGCTTACCAGTAAATGACAGAAGGTGCATTATAAATTGGGGGGGGGGGCGTAGCGGAACCCAACTTTAGTGAGTTAGAATCTAATTTGAAACTAATTTGAAACTTTATTTTCATGGTGGTAGATCACTGGCACTTTTGGCCAGAAAAAACAGATCACTACCTGTTCGAAGTTGGACATGCCTGACCTATTTGAATGCTAGCCTCATTAAATTGTTCTGTCAGTCTAGGAGAGATGGTACAACCAAGTACAGAAGCAACTAGGGGAATTTAACCTTATTAAACACATGCGTGGGCACATACCTATTTAATGCCACATATACAAGATCACACCTTTATGCTTTGTAGGACTTGACTCCAATTAGCAATCACTCCCTGTCATGAAGACTAGAAAGTACTCCACCACCGTAGGCACACAGAAAGGATGGAAATAATCTACCCCCCCCCCCCCCGGAGAGTATGACAAAAGTGGTTAAAGCCAGATATTAAGTATGCAGTCTTTACTTAGGAGCAGCGCCCTTGAACAAAGTTGGACTTACTTCAGAGTAAAGATGTGTATGATCAGACAGCAAAAGCTACATGTTAAAATAAACAGGAGTCTGGCTTCACCTTAAAGACTAGCAAGTTTTTATTTTATCCTAAACACATATGACCAGAGCTCACTTCATCAGATGCAAGTTGTGGGTCCTTACTAGGCAGATGTTTATATATTGGGTCATGAAGGGGGGGGGGGAATCCAAAGACCTACTACATACATAATATGGAGAAGAAGAGAACCATGGGGATTCCCATTAGGGAGAAAGGCAGGGTATAAATAAATATAAAATTAATAATGTGACAAAAAATATGGCAGTCATAGAGTAGGCTGGAAGGGATCTTGGAGGGCATCTAGTCCAACCCCCACTCAGTGTAGAAATATGCAACTACTCCATCCCTAACAGATGGCCATTCAAAACAAAGTTTGTTCTGTTGCTTTAGACCAACACGGCTACCTACCTGAATCTATCTCGATGGCCAATCAAGCCTTTGTAGTGGAGTCCACCACACCCAGAGGCAATCTTACACATCTGTTTCACTGCTGAATAGCTGTTATCACATATACATTTTCCCTAATATTTATCCAAAGTCTCCCAATCCTTCCCAAATGCTAGAAGAAATACTTGTTAGCCCTTTAAGGTGCCGCAAGACTCCTTGCTTATTTTTGCCACAACAACAGGGCATTCTTTAGAATTGCTGGTGGCCTTGAAAAACACACCCAACCTGAACAGAAGGATGGGTGCACAAGGCTTGTACACAGATGAGAGAAGGCAGCCCATGCTCTCAAGTAATTCCAGATGTACAACCATGTTTGTCTGTAGCAATCTGGAGCCGGGCAGGGTCTTGCACTGCCCATTGCCCCTTTTATGATTACAGCAGTTATATTCTACTCAGGATGTGAACCGCTACACTCAATAGGGAAAAAGAAAACGGAGGGAACACTGAGTCCAGCAGCACCTTGAAAACTAACAACATCCCTTCCAGCATCAGCTTTTGGGAGCCACAGCTCACTTTCATCAGGGAAATATAATCAAACACGGATGGTGTTCTTTGTATGTTTGTAAAAACTGTTGTAAATTGCCCAGATCCCTGCGTACTCACGGACTGGGCGATTCAGAAATTCAGTAAACGATGATAATAATACCAAGAGCAGCAGGGAGGAGATAAGGGCATTAACAGGCAAGACAAATCAAACGACAGGACCACGGGGGTATCTGAACAGGTGAGCAGTGACTCACGAAGGCTCATCCCCTGCCACAAATGTAGTGAGTCCTTAAGGGGCTACTGGATTCTCAACTCTTTTCTACGGCTACCAATTGACTAACGCGGCTACCCATCTGGAGGGGGCAGTGACCTAAGGCCATGGGACGAGGGGAGGAGGAGGAGGAGGAGGAGGGCGGGGGGCAGAGCCAGATGTGCGCAGCCACAGGGAGGAGGTCTCGGGGACAGGAGGGAGGGGAAAGGAAAGCCACGAGGGCAGGAGGGAGAGGGGCCAGCAGGCGAGGCAGCACCCACGCAGACACCGACACCCCCCCCCTCACCTGGCAGCCCTTCTTGTGGTGGAAGCCGACCACCACGATGTGCAGCACCGGCCCCCGGGGGCCGCTGCGAGACTGCGGGTCGCCTTGCTCTCTGCCCCTCCTCTCCATGAAGGAGCCCGGCCCCGGAACGGCAGGAGACTCGCTCGCAGCCCGGCGCCGACGCTTTCCTTCCGCGGTCAATACTACAGCCCGCCGCTGCCCGTCAGCAAACTGGCGGCTGGCCTGGCACTGAGCATGCTCCCGCCGACCGAGCAGCCTCAATGGCGTCTGCTGAAGCCGCGGCGGCCCTCACGGTGCGGGAGCTGCTGCTGCCTGCTGCCGGGGGAGGCGGGAAAAGAGCGAGCGGCGGCGGCGGCGGCAGGGGCGGCCGCCGCCTCCCTCGGGTGTAACGTCTGCATGGTCCGAAAGGCGTGTTTGTAAAACGAGGGTGTTTACAGAAAGAAAGTGGCTTCCTCCTTACCCTGTTACCTCAGACCGGTTCCTCCTGGCAACCAGTTGCCAGGGCTCTATTCTTAAAGCCATAGCCTGTCCAAAGGCCTGAGCGAGGAGTTGGGCTTGGTGGGGGACCGTGTTGTACGCACGGAGATGGCTGGCTTGATGGTATGGCACATGATGGTGGGCATCTCCTCCTGTGGCCGCAGAATGAAGCAGGCACCTTCAAAGACGTTCGGGATTTATTCCAGCAGAAGCATTCACAAGTCAGACTACCGGACGCACCTCTGGCCAGTGTGCACTGAGACCAAAGAAATAATAATATACTTTATTGTCATTGTACATAGTACAACGAAATTAAGATGCAATCATTCGGTGATCTACAACCATACTCATATACACTCACACAACCATTCACAACCATCCCATAACTCCCTTAAGGTTCACATTGCAACTTAAAACCACCAATGTCACCCAAATTCCAATTCATACAGCATTTAAAGCAATAATAGCTCTCGAATAAAAACTGTTTTTTAATCTGTTTGTCCTTGTTTTAATTGTCCTATATCTTCTACCCGAAGGCAGCAGTTCAAACAGGGAGTGTTCAGGGTATGACAAATCCTTATGCTGGAGTAAATTTGGTACATCTTTAAGGTGCCACTGGACATCTGCCTTGATTGAAGACCAGTGGATGAAATCCTAAAGTGGCAGGAGGGATTTTTAAACCTTGGCTGTTCCAAGTAACACAGTGGGAGTTGCAAATCAGGACAAAAACCAATCACCTTTTCAGTTGTCAAACCTACATTGAATGTGCTGTTCCTAGAGTATGGGAAGACTGATAGAGGAAGGGCAGGGCAGAGTCCTGTGTGGCCACTTAAACGCACTTGCACATGCTTACACAATTTTTGGCATGTTTAGGCTTCAGCCCACAACAGATTGTATAACTCTTACCATCCTATTCAGTGATACATGGGTTTCATCTCCAGTTTGTGTAGGTATGAAGATGCCGAAAAGGAGAAAGTCCAATGGCCTTTGTCAGGCTAGTAATCTGTAAGGCAATCATGGCTGAGGTGAAAGCTGAACATAAAAGATGCCTCTAACTGCTAACTGGCAAAGGACCTTTACAGCTGCCTCCTTATTTATTTATAAAATATATATGCTGTCTCTCCAGAGACCTGCTCAAGGTGGCTTACCAAACAGAACAATAGAATAAAGTCATAAAAAGAAACAACCATGAACATCAATATTAATACCAAGCAAGAACGCCCCCCCCCCCTCAGGACATAAAAGGATATTAAACAGCTTCAAATGTTGCCTATAAGCAGCTTTCAGGCCGAAAGCAGACCATAAAAACAGCTTTAGAAGATGGGAACCCGCATTAAAAGACTGGGTAAAGAGAAATATTTTCATCTGATTCCTAGAGGCAGATGCTAGGCAAATCTCAAGGGGATGTGTGTTCCAATGGCCCCCCACTGAAAAAGCCCTGTCTCTAGTTACCGCCTGCCACATGTCTGAGTGGTCTGCTTGCCACATGTCTGGGTGGGAGTTTGTGTAGAATGGGGGTTCATGGTGGTTGCTATACTTTTGGACTGAAAGCATGTCGGTTTGTTTCTAGTTCCACATTTGGTTTTGTCCCTCTTTTCACAATACGGCTGTATATTTCTATTTATTTATATTTATGTACTGTCCCTGGCACGAGTGGTTCATGGTGTACTGACTGGAACCAACTTTCTTGCATTTGCGGGCTGGGCTAGGTTGGCTCACGATGCTAGTGTGGCACTGCAGTGCATGATGTACTGCTGCAGAACTGTCATTGATGGTGCAGGAGTCCTGACCACTTCTTTCTTGGCCCAGTGGTCGAGGATTAGGACTTGAGGCTGTCAGGAAATGGGCATGTCTTCTCTCACTGAACACATAACAGAGGTGGAAATCTCATGTGCAAAGGGGGGGGGGTCATACTGTTTTTCTTTTGCACTTCCTAGGGAGGCCAGCCTCTGCTTGCGAAATTCCTAGAGATCAAAGGGTAGAGCCTGGGGAGGGCAGGGTTTGGGGAGTGGAGGGACTTCAGCAGGATATAATGCTATAGAGTCCAGCCTCCAAAGTAACTTTTCTCTAAGGGAACTGATCTTCATAATCTGGAGATCAGTTGTAATTCCAGGACGTCCCTAGGCATAATTTGGGAGATTGGCATCCATAACTTCCTTCATGGAGCTTAGAGTAACTTATTCCCCACATAAAATAGATTCAGCTGCGTAGCCATGTTGGTCTGATTCAACAGAACAAAATTTGAGTCCATTGGCACCTTCAAGACCAACAAACTTTTATTCAACGTTTATTTTATTTTATTGTAATGTATCCGAGGAAGTGTGCGTGCACAAGAAGGCGAATACCTTGAATAAAACTTTGTTGGTCTTAAAAGGTGCCACTGGACTCGAATTTTATTCCCCACACGTTTGTCTGCATTCTAACCTGACAGACAACGATCCGGTGCATGTTTACTCAGAAGTGAGTCCCACTGTATTCAGTGGTATGTATTTCCACATGAATGTGCATAGGACTGCACTCACGGTCTCACTTGTGCTCTTTCAGAACGTGCTGCCTTTAGACTGCCAGTCGCTTTTCCCACGACAAAGCTCACTCCCTGAACAATCAGCGTATATGCAGAGACTGTGTCACCACTAACTCATAATATTTTATTCAGGCTTAATCGTGAGTTCCTTTCGTTTTACAAATTGAACATTGGGAGGAGGGTGACTGACACTACGCCTGCTAAACCATGACTCTTGGTGATCCGATTTGCGCGCATGCTCTCTCTTTCTCCTGACTCTTGCAGTTCGATTGCTCGTTCATCGATTGACTGAGTCTGCTCGACCTCAGACCGCCCGACCTCTTGTGAATGGTAGAACAGGCCTCTCCCGCTTTCTCCTTTCCACCAGTAGTCTCGCAGGAAGAGCAATAAGAGCCGGGTGGGATCGACTAATTAGGCCTTTCTGCAAAATGGCCGCCAACGCAACGACAAACCCGTCTCAGCTACTGCCGCTTGGTAACGGACGCCGCGGTCGCGCCTGGGAAGAGCGAAGCGGGGAGGGCACATTAGGATGGTGCGGGAATTCAGAGGGGTGGGGGCAGTAGCTGAGCCGTTTAGCTTCGTTGGTTTTGCAGAGTGTGGGGTTTACGTATGTAACATGAACGCGTGTTGGTTGATTCAAACAAACAGGTACACTGCTCGATAACCCTGTCCCTCGAGTATGTGTGGGCGAGTCGTAGAATGGGGTGGGTATCTGCTGTGACGACACCGTATTTCTGAGTGCCACTCGCCTTGTAAGTGGAAAGCTACTCTCACGAGGAAATAAGCTTTCTTCTGAATGTGCTAGCTTTCTTCCGTCATTTTTAAAAATGGGAGTATTTCAAAAACGTATTTGCTCAGATGCAGTCTAGAGTGGTACCGTCAAAATGCTGCTTTAGCTCTTCCTTGCTTTACTCTGCTGTATGAATACTGTGAGACCTTACAGCTGAAGGAGCTGGCAGGTTTCACTTCTACTCAGACTGCAGATGAACTAAAGCATTCTATGGTGGTTCCACATTAAAAAACAAAACCCTTGCGAGTAGGAAACCAGGAGAAGGGGCTGAACCCTTTGTTTGTTGTGCTTGTTTTAGTTTTAAAGGGGTTCTTAATGTAGAGGGGGAGAAATTAAAAAACCATGCTTTTTTCATTTGCGGTCTAAGTGGTGAAGTCCATTTTACTGCCTATTGTGCTGAACGTGTGGGCTGTCTTGTTTTTTAAAAAAACATTTTATTGTCGGGTCATAACAACATGTCCAATATTATAACATTCCCTCATTTCTATTATAACCCTTCCTCCCTTCCTCCCTCCCTCCCCTTCTCCAGGCTTCCCGCAGTGATCCCACCCCTACCTAGTTTCATTTCTTGTCTGATCCTTTCTCCTAAAACAAAGGTTAATATATAATTATTATTTTAACTACCTTTTTCATATATTCTATCTTTTAGGTAACATTTCTTTAACTACCATCATCTTCTGTTCAACTCTTTACACATTCTATTCCTAATAGTTATTAAAGCACAATAAATTGTTCTTAACATCCCAGTATTTCTCTAGATACACTTTAAAGTCCATCCAGTCTGCAAAAAACTCTTCATCTTCTTCGTTGTTCAGTTTCCTTGTCAATTTGTCCATTTCTGCCATAAAAAGCATTTCTCTAATCCATTCCCAAGCCTCAGGTACTCGGTCTTGTTTCCAGCGTGTGGGCTGTCTTAACTGAAAAGTACTTGTGTGCGTTTGAGGTCACATAAAACAATGGGAAATTCAGTTTGTGGCCAGGTTGCATATTCTCAGCGTTGGGTTGCTTTACAAACAATGGCCTGGATTTAGCCACCTCTTCTGCTGGTGGTTAAGGAAGGAGGTGTTCTCTTTGACCATCCCAAAAAAAAGAAAAGAAAAAAAAGGCAACACTGGGAATTATTAGACTTCTGTGAACAAAAGCCACCTGATCCCAGACCTGTAGTTCAGAGGGAAACTGGGTGAGATTCCGTGAAAAAGATGGTTGGACCCATTCTTTAGGTTCTGGAGCTCTAGGTTTTTGTTGCATGGACCAGTCCCTCAGAAGTAACTGGGCTTTGTAATGAAGTTGGGACTGTATTCAGAGGTAGTTGCCCTGGGCAGTACAAACAAAACCCAAAAGAAAAGGGCATCACCGACATATAAATGTGTTCTATTGCTTGA